CCCCAAAACCCCAAAACCCCAAAACCCCAAAACCCCTTAAAATTATTCATCGTTGAGGTGATCAAAATTGCTAAAAATCTTGAAGAATGCCTTATTCCCTCAAAAAGACCATCTTTTCCTTCTCGATTTTAATTCCACTGAGCATGCTGACTTCCATGAATTTGAAGTAGTCAAGACTTGTCCTCCAAAAGATTATGAAAATAAAGAGACGAAGAACAAGAGATATTATAGTGCCGATCAAGGAGTACCTCCTGATGTTGAGTTCTCAGTCCCCATCATACCTTTGCTGGCCCCACCAAGGACTCCAGTGGATTATGAGCCAGATAATGTCCCAAAGAATTGACACGAATAGTAAGAACACACATACACGAATAACTTTCTTCTTGTCGCGAGGAGAATTCATGTCGATTCTAAGGACAACACTTGGAAGCAAGTAAAAGGCAAATCAGCATATCACCACGTTAATGAATTCAGCCTTGTAGAAGCATAGAGACATGGTTAGCAAGAAGAATGTTAAGTAAGCAACCACAAACAGAAACTGCCAGAAGTACTCACCGAAGGAAGCTTTCTCAACAGCTGGCTTTATTGCTCCGTCTAAGGCTTTAGAAGCGTCCATTTCTTTTGGATGAGCTTGATAGATCGATAGAAGTATTTCAGGGTCATCTTCGTCCCTCATTCCTGCTTGTGCATCTTTGAAGAGGACTGCAAATGGACTTTGGATCATGTTTAACTCTCTTTCATGAGCTCTCCTGATGTTATCAATTTCTCTTTTATGAATCTGGAGTTCCCTGACTTCATCACCCATAAGCGCTAATCTTGAGTAAATAAACTGGACTTTGAAGGTCATTCTGCCTTTGATGACTCCACTGTCATAATTCTCTTCATGAAGATCAACCTCTTGCTCTATCTCATCTTGGCTTGGTAAAGTATCAAGGTTGAGCATATATTTTCCAATAAAGGAGTTTGCCAGTGTTCCTCTATCATAGACAGATATTTTTAACGGATCATCTCCTCTTTTAATATCAAACGTAAACTTCTCATTCCAGACAGGATTGTAGTTATTCCTAATAAAATTACTCTCGATTCTCTGTCCTTCACATTGGAGTACTACAAAAGGGTCTACGGCTCTTCCAAATTCTATCTTTCTCAGGTCTCTGGCGGAGACGATTGTAACGATCAGTATACTTCCGTCCATGATTCCGAACTGGTTGATAGTCTCTGTTCTAGCCACATCTTGCTTTAAATTATTAATGTCCTCGATATTGTACCGAATCTCAGCTGAAAGTCTCTTACTTTCCAAGATTTGGAGCTCATAAGTCTCGACTTTCCTAGCAAAGGCAGTACAGAACTCATCAAGGGTGACTTTTCCATTATTATTTTCGTCGATTTGGTGGTGAAGTTCTCGGATTTTAGTAGAGTCATAGGTCTTGTTTCCGTTGTTAATGTTATTCATGTAAGCTTCGAGTTCGTCAATGGTCAGGTTATCGTCATGGTCTTTATCTGCAGTCTGGTATTCTTTCGCCACTGTAAATTATTGTTAGGAAAACCTTGAATGTCGTTGTGGTTGTAAAGTCCTGATGAAGTAATACTTACGTTTGGTTTTCATGTAATCGACCATTCTGTCCATTTTATACGCTATTTTTAAGATGAACATTTAGATTTAGTAAGGTAAAGTCAGAGATTGATTCTTTTTCTCCTCTTTTTAAGGATTAAAGTTAAAATTTAATAAGCCAAAAGATGTATGTAATGTTTCTACTGGCCAAACTGGTTTAAATATCTCTATATACTCTACATTATCAAAGTTTTCTGCTCTCATACCCCTCATTTTTCTTCTTTCTTATTTTAAATTATATTTTGAACTAGGGGTTTTGGGGTTTTGGGGTTTTGGGGTTTTGGGG